ACAAATAGACCAATAGAACATATAAGAAAGTCCCCAAAACAGAACCACACATTTAGGGAAACCTGATATGATATAGATTACATTATAAACTAGCATGGAATAGACTACTCAATAAATGGCGCTGGGAGAATTAGTTATCCACATTGAGAAAAAATTAGACTCCCTATTTCACATTGATTTTTGTACAACAAAGTCAGTTCTAGGTGGATTACAGATATGAATGTGAAAAGATGAACATTTAAAAGAAAATACTGAAGATGTTACTGAAAGAAATCGATAATGACATAAAGAAATGGAAAGACATCCCATGCACATGGATTGGAAGAATAAACATAGTTAAAATGTCTATATTACCTAAAGCAATCTACAGATTCAACGCAATCCCAATCAGAATCCCAATGACACTCTTCATGAAAATAGAAAAAAGAATACTAAAATTCATACGGGGCAACAAAAGACCCCGAATAGCTAAAGCAATCCTCAGAAAAAAGAACAGAGCTGGAGGCATCACAATCCCTGACTTCAAAAGATACTACAACGCAATAGTAATCAAAACAGCAGGGTACTGGTACAAAAACAGACACACAGATCAATGGAACAGAATTGAAAGCTCAGAAATAAAACCACACATATACGGACAGCTAATTTTCGACAAAGGAGCTAAGAAAATTACAGGACAACATCACTGACAAACATAAATGCAAAAATCCTCAACAAAATATTAGCAAATCAAATACAATAATACATTAAAAGGATCACACAACATGATCAAGTGGGATTTATTCCAGGGATGCAGAGATGGTTCAAAACCTGCAAATCAATCAACATGATACACCACATCAACAAAATGAAGAATAAAAATCAAATGATCATCCAAATAGGTGCCGAGAAAGCATTCGACAAGATACAGCATCCATTTATGATAAAAACTGAATAAAATGGGTATAGAAGGCAAGTACCTCAACATAATAAAGGCCATATATGACAAACCCACAGCTAACATCATATTCAATGGTGAAAAACTGAAAGCTTTCCCTCTAAGAACAGGAACAAGACAAGGATGCCCCCTTTCACTGCTCTTATTTAACATAATACTGGAAGTCCTAATTAGAGCAATCAGGCAAGAAAAGAAAAGGGATCCAAATTGGCAAGGAAGTAAAACTGTCACTATTTGCAGGTGACATAATTTTACATATAGAAAACCCTAAAGAATTCACCAAAAAACTATTAAAAAAATAATAAATATAGTAAAGGTGCAAGGTACAAAATCAACATACAAAAATCAGTTGTGTTTCTATACACGAACAACAATAGCAGAAAGAGAAATCAAGAATACAATCCCATTTACAATTGCAACAAAAAGAATACCTAGGAATAAATTTTTTTTTTTAAAGATTTTATTTATTTATTTTTTCCCTCCAAAGCCCCAGTAGATTGTTGTATGTCATAGCTGCACATCCTTCTAGTTGCTGTATGTGGGACGCGGCCTCAGCATGGCTGGAGAAGCGGTGTGTCTGTGCACGCCCAGGATCCGAACCCAGGCCGCCAGCAGCGGAGCGCGTGCACTTAACCGCTAAGCCACGGGGCCGGCCCCCCAGGAATAAATTTAATGATCAGAAGTGAAAGACCTGTACACTGAAAACTATAAAACATCATTGAAAGAAACTGAAGTAGACATAAAGAAATGGAAAGATACTCCACACTCACGGATTGGAGGAATTAACACAGTTAAATGTCTATACTTCCTAAAACAATCTACAGATTCAAGGAAATCCCTATCAAAGTCCCAATGACGTTTTTCACAAAAATAGAACAAAGAATCCTAAAATTTATATAGAACAACAGAAGCCCTCGAATAGCCAAAGCAACCCTGAGAAAAAAGAACAAAGCTGGAGGGGCTGGCCCAGAGGGGTAGTGGTCAAGTTCTCGCACTCCGCTTTGGCAGCCCTGGGTTCACAGGTTTGGGTCCTGGGCACGGACCTATGCACCACTCATCAAGCCATGCTGTGGTGGCACCCCATATACAAAATAGAGGAAGAATGGCACAGATGTTAGCTCAGGGCTGATCTTCCTCAGCAAAAA